TTGAATTGTTGACATTTTATTTTTGCTTCATAACATTTGTTAAAGGGATCATCATCAACTATTGTGTGAGTGGCCCAACAATGGTGCTATAAACTATTATGAATTATCAATAATATTCAATAAGGCATAAGAAGTCACATAATTCAAGAAGGCTAGAGCAATAGGGTCACCTCAATCCAACTTTCACTTGTTTTTAAGTCAACCTCAACACCAATGGACACCTTGTGTTCTAAGTATGTGATTTTAGCATGCATGAATGCGCATTTCTCTTAGTGCACTTGTAATTGATGATCCTAAAAGACCTTGAAAACTAGGGAGAGGCATTCCTCATGTGTTACCAGATCTAGGATGTATACCAAGATGTCTATGAATATGATGAGTTAGATCTTTTAGAGAAATCTACAAAAAAATATGATACATCAAAGTTTGGAAGATTGTTGGGGACATTGGAGAGTCAAAATAGTATTACAAGAAACTTGTAATAACTTTCATGTGTTAGGAATGTCACCTTAGAAATATCTTCAGCTTAGGTATAGATTTGGTGATAGAGAGATTGAAGGTTGAGCTTAGAGAAAATCTTTGTTCTATGCATCTCTTTTAGAAGCTCTTCAACTATAGACACTAGAAAATAGTTCAACATGGTAGTCTTGTTGAATATGTAGTAATCAATGTAGAATCACCACAAATTGTCATTCTTTAATGGGAGGATGGGGTTGGAGAATGAACTACTTGAATGATGAATAATCTCTACTTCTAATAGCTTTCTAATTAATTTTTTATTTTCTAAAAATAGGGATATATGAATAATTAGATGTTGAAAAGCTTCACACAAAATCCCTAAGGTATGGAATGATCCACCTCTTAGTTAGAAGGGAGTAATGAGACCTCAATGAATGTGTAAAAAAAAAGTTGTTATGAGCCTAGTTCCAAGATGACTTGAATTCTCACTAAATGTCTCATTTCTATTTAATAAATAATGTATAATTATCATATTTGATGCATTCATTCATGCCAAATAATATTAATGAGAAATCAAATAAAATATATTCTATATTAATTACATAAAATACATGCTTAATATACAACTTGTACATAGTTTTACATTATGCTTATCGTCGAATATTTTTTGAGTATCTCTTAATATACTTAACATCTTCACTCTTAAAATTGTCATATTTAGGGCTAAAATCAGATTTTTAATAGTTTTAGATTTTTTCTTACACATGTTTTTTTCTACTTTTTGATCATTTTAAAATAATTTTAAAATAAGTTTTGAAACATTTCTTGATTTCTATGGACATTTTAAAGTTCATTAAGGAAGTTAGAGTCTCATTGGGTTGCTTTATTTAATTAAATTAAAATTATTCTGAAAATGGGTGGAAGCTTTGAGAATCATTACGACTCAACTGGCAATGTCTCCAAAACTTGAGTGATCTTATTAGTGAATTCTTTGTGAGAGATTTTAGAGGAACATTGGGGTTGTCTGTTGACTCTTATTAGTGAATTTTTTTATTGCACTTTCATGTAAATCTTCACAAATGTATGAAGGGTCGCCATCTTTTTATATGTCGAGGATCTAAAACTCTTTTTGGCAGCAATGATTGGATGAATATGTTTTATTGTAGGTGAAGCAAAGGCTCTAGGCACAAAATTAGATTTCCATCAAGGTGAGACGGAGCCACTAGTTTCTCCCTATGATTGTTTGTGTCATGGAATTTGAGACTATAATGAGTCTACTCTCTAGGGAAGGAATAATTTCAGCCCTTTTCTTATTTGTACAAAATAATTCAAAGTAGACTCTAGAGGCTTCCATTTACTTTAGATGAAGTCTAGACCAAAAAAGGTCAAGTTTTTGGACTTGACTTTCTAGGTAGTTCTAGAAAAGAGCCTTGACTTTAGTCCTTAATAATAGCTAACATGAACTCAAATTTCTCATATTGTTCTATGATTATTCTTTGTTGATGAAGCTCTAAAATTTTTTAATGTAGTGAACTCAAATAATTAGAATAAAATTGTTCAATTGATTGTTGTCACAAATGCTTCTACTTTCAAAATGACTCATGTGTCCATCTATTGGAACTATGTGAGAACCCTACTTTCCAACTTGAGTCATTGCAGCAATGTTTATCCTCTATTGTGAGCTCGTATGTGGAGAAGAAAAATCGTCGTGACCCAACCTTTGGGTTCAAGGCCTTTAAAGATAAGCATTCTAGTCTTCTCCCCATTGACCAAGACTTAGAGGCAAGTTATCATGTGCTGATTGTAGTCTAATCAGTCATGTAGGGACATTTTGAGAGATATTAGCCAAATCATTGAGGTCTATATAACCAAAAGCTTGTCTTCAATTTAGTTTGGGAGGTGTCTATCGTCAAGACCATAATGCAAAAAGTCAATTTGCTATTGAAAAAGATGATCAAGGGTACAAATGATGTAGTCAATTTGATGCTTGGGTACTGTTGCCTTGCTTTGACAATTTATGATGTCAACTTGTAGGTTGGCAATGTTCTATTGAATATTGGGTCTCCCTTGACAAAGCTCTTCCACTTATCTCTCGATGATTTCTATTTTGGCATTATTTGTCTTGGAAGACCCCACAGAATCTCAATTGGAGAGACTATTATTTAAAGATTGAATGATAAGCTAGGTTCCTTTCTTGAGATAAGACAATAAGGAGTATAGAAAAGTTCTCCTATCTCTCTCTTGTGTAGAGAGAGAGAGAGAGAGAGAGAGAGAGAGGATAATGAAGAGAGAAAAAAGTAATGGAGAGAGAACACTCTTCTTGGGGAAGGTTGATTCAAGATGACTAGTCTCCATGATTCTTATCCAGACAACTCTTGTCCCTTTTTGCATTCGTGCTCTATACTTATAGATCTTTTGCGAGACCCAAAATAACTCTCCGATCTGGTTTGGGCTATGTAGGCTGTAGTCAAGACCTCTTTCAACATGGATGAGAGAGGGAGGAGAGTATCCTATCATAGTTGATAACCAATTATCTGGGGATGGTCTCTTTGATATCTCTTGGATTGAATCAAGAAATAAATAATAGAAGATAATAATACAATGTCACCTTTGGAATTTTGCATGCAGATTCCAGGCAATCTTCAATTGCTACCAAGGTCTACTATTTGAACAAAAGAAGAAGAAAAAATAATAATAAAATAATAAAATGGTATGAAACACAAGTGATTGTACACTTACTAGAAGAGCTTGATGAAGTCATCCAATTGCTTTCATCCTCCAGCCAAGTTTACCAACATAAGAGTTGACTAACATAAGAGACTTGGGCTCACTAAAATATGAAAAATATTGGGCTGATGTTATTTTTTAGTGGTTTGTTATTGAAATATTTGACCATGATGTGAAATATGGGAATATTAGGAATTTTAATCGGGTGTGAACTAGACAAAGGAGTCAATGAGGGTGCACCTATCAGACGGTCAGAATAAGTCTAAATTTCCGGTGGGATCCCAGTGTCAGGTCGATTCTGACGCGTTGGAGCGCCAGTTGACGGCTGATTGACGGCAGCATTGGTTTTGTAACGGCTACGTACGGTAAATGAACAAGTCCAATGTGACGGCGCTTCAGATGGGACCCACTCTGGCAATCGTACGCCTAGAGTGGAAGGCGAGCCGTCACTGACCAAGGCTCGTGTTTCCGCTAAGACGAGTCTCGATGCGTCAGAATGAAGCCACGTACCCTATGGAACAAACTAACGCGGTCGGTGCTTTTATATGGACAGAACTATCCTCTTTCCAGTGATGTGCTCGTATTCCAAGAGGTGAAAAAGTCTGAGGCCGGCAGTCAAGGGAGGCCAGGTGGGCCCGGTTTGAACGTAGGAGAAGGTCATCGTACCGCAGATCTGGAGGGACGCAGCAGATGAGGGACAAGAAAGTCGGGGCCACCACTGCGACTACGCCCCACTCTTCCGCACCCCCCACCCCCCCCCGGCGGCAGAAGTAGAAGGTCTACGACAATCATCAGCTACAGCGGAGCAAGCTGCAGCAGTCGCCGGAGGGCCACCGTCCCGCTCCAAGGCGGAGATAGCTCGCGGGGGTAGTGGTAGTCTTGCTGCTTTGCTCCAGTACTCACTGTACGAACTCCCCAACTCTTTCTTAATCGGCCCCTGCTCTGTCGATTTCCGCCTGTCGTCTTCTTCTTCTTCCTCCTCTCCCTCTCCCTCTTCATCTTCCTTGTCATCATCTTCTTCTTCATCGTCATCATCTTCCTCTTTTTCTTCTTCTTCTTCTTCTTTAGCCGTCAAATTTTTGATTGACGAGATGAGGTTGTGGAGGGTTCTCTCGCTGCTCATTCCTCCGCGTTATCTCTTTACCAGTTCACGCTCTTTTAGGGTTTTTTCATGCCTTGTTTTCGGATCTCGGTACACAAAATGTCGAGTGAGATGTATTGTGTTTCCGCAGAGATCTTCTCCGCGTTTCTTGCTGAAGAATCTGAGGGCTTCGCTTCTGGTGACGGTCTCTGTGGAGGGCGGGGCGTCTCGCTGTCCGTTCTCAGTATTCTGCGGTTTGTTTCGTTGATTTTGTCGTCGTTTTTCGATTCAGACAGCGGGATCTCATTCACAGTTTTGACAGTCCGGCGACGAGTGGATTTTATGTATTGAATGATCGAAGTTTTGCCGACTATTTAGTTGCCCACATTTGTTTATCCTTCCTTAGAAGAACCGTTGCTTTTTATTTCATATATCTTCACGTTCATCTTAAGCAAAGAAGGGGGTCCTGTAATGTTGGCAGGAAGAGTTATGATAGGTTTGTTCCGAAAAGAAACACATTGTAGAAATGTCTGCAGAAGACAATATGCAGAAATGCCGTCGCAATACGAATGCATTCTTTGGCTCAATTGATTTCCCTTTTGGACAGATCTGGAATAACCAAGGAAGAATGGAGGAATGCCCAATTTCCACTCGCACTAACAAAATTCAATAAATGCTCTCTCTACTATCAGTGATTTGCATTTGGATAAAACGTTAAATACTAATACGATTCATGATGTTCCTCTTGTTTCTTGTCACAGATTTCTTTTTTTCTGGTTTAGTTAGATCAAATGTCAGAGTCGATTTATCTGAACTTCCTTTTTATTTTTCTGGAGCAGTTTACTTGATTGGAGATGAATTTTTTCCATGTCTGGTGTGCATTGCGAAAAGTTCATGCATTTCGACTAGAGTGATTCACTCTCTGGAAGCCATGGGCTGCCTCTGTAGCAAACAAAAGCCTGTCAGAACATCTGATGCTGAAGAAAATGCAAAGGTGAAAGAAAGACTCATCCTTTGCTCATATGATTCTATAATGCCTTACCAAGCTTGTAACCAAATAACATTACAAAATATGTTCAGCAAAGATATTCCTGGACTTCACATTTTTTGTTATCCTGGTCATTCATGTATTTGTACCTTTTAATTTCCAGGCTGCTGAGATAGAGAAACGCATCGCGCAAGAGGCCACGGCAGAAAAACACATCCAGAAAGTATTATTGCTCGGTAATTCTTGTCAAATAGGAATCAGATAATCCTTTGATTAAAAGTTTACTTGAATGTTAACTAAATATTTACTCTCTACGATTTTAGTTTCTCTTCTTCATTTATGTTAAGCTTACTACTTGACTTTCAATCTTTTAATAGGAGTAATTAATTATTCATACTACTGGAGGACTTATAAAGCTTACTTTATATTTTATCACCAGAGTAAACTCTGAGTTCTTTGTTTCTGGAAGTACGCCACTATTAAATAGTCTAGCCCTGCGTCAATTGACTTATACCTTACTTAAGAATAGTCGATGATGACCTTATAGGGGTAATTAATTCCGCACACACGCATGACAATTTTCCCGTGTTTGAGATTTTTTTCTATTTCTGATCTTCCATTACTTCAGGGGCTGGAGAATCAGGAAAGTCAACTATATTTAAGCAGGTTGGTGTAACAAAATTATTATTGTGCATTTTTTTTTCAAACCATATTCAATCTTACACGGGATCTATCTACAGATAAGACTCCTCTTTCAAACTGGATTTGATGAGGCTGAACTACGGAGCTACATACCAGTTATTCATGCCAATGTATTTCAGACAATTAAAGTATGCAATTCTGAAAGGGTGTGTTTGTTTTTGTTTTTACGTTTTCAGTACTGTTGTGTTGGTAGCGTCTACTGTTGGGAACCACTGGGGCGTTATGTGATGTAATGATCCATAGAATGATATTTTCCTTGACCATTAATGGATTGTCTTCTGCAGATACTGTATGATGGAGCTAAGGAATTTGCACAAAATGAAACTGATTCATTGAAGTATGTTGTATCCCTTGAAAATAAGGTTTGATTATGCCTATTCTTGTTAATTAGCTCATCATTCACTTTCACGTTAAAGCATAAACAGTTTAGGCTGAAAATGATCATTTTGCTGCTGCTCTTTAACCAAGCATGGCGTGCCCATGAACTAATACACGACTCACATAGCAGACTTGTCCTGAGAGAAAAAATATCGTCGTTCCATATCAGCCGCTCTAAATTCTGGGAAAGTTCCCATCTTTTCTTTTTTCCTGCATGCTTTATGACCCCTGCACGGAATCTGAAGAACATTCTCCGGCCCAGTCACACAACAGGCCAGAGATTTTAGATCCAAACCAATCTGTGGTTCAATTCTGATGATGCTCAGTCTGAACTGGTCTGATGGGACCGATAGGATTTCCTTGAGTAATTTTTTTCAGCCTCTACTTAGATGAAATGGGTCATGTTTGTAATCCCGAAGCATAGACAACATGTCATTGCTTGTATTAGTCTCACAGTCTTCTCATAGTATAGCTTCTAAGTTGGTGCCCATTAGCTGTGATGTTAATGAATGTGCTTCATTAAGTTCGGTTTAATGGATAAACTCGTTCGTGTCACATTGAAATGTAGTATTGCCTAATGAATGGTGTATCCTTCACCAGGTAATTGGTGAAAAGCTATCTGAAATTGGGGGTAGATTGGACTACCCTTGCCTTACAATGGAGCTTGCAGATGAGATAGAAACTCTATGGAATGACACTGCAATTCAGGTTCTCGTTTCATTCTTATTCATTTCCTGCAACTGGGGAGCTCACATGAGTGCTTTCCCGTGGTTTTGATATAATGGCCCTCTGTCGCCAGAGAAATGAGCCTTTTCTCGGTTTTGAATGGTCTCTCCATGCAGGAGACTCTTTCCCGTGGAAATTTGATTCAAGTTCCAGACTGTGCCCAATATTTCATGAAGAGTTTGCGCCGAGTCTCTGATGCGAATTATGTCCCAACCAAGGTGCAAAATTCAGGACTGTTGAAATTTCCTTCTGGCTCAAGAATTTGATGCTTTTTGCAGATGGCAAACTTTCAAGGCATCTTTATTGTTACGAATATCTGACTTTGCATCATACGTGGTGCTCACTATTTCGCGTTATCTTTTTAATATCATCTATCCTAGGGTAAAGGAAAACCATTTCTTTTTCACAAAAAAAATGTTGGATATTCATTCCATTTTTTCTGTGGATATTATGGTGATTAGCAGACGCCTATGCACATCTCCTCGCTCCCGCAGAAATATTTCCATGTAGGAGATCCCTCCCAGATTTTTTTCCACAGTGATAGCGAACTGTTTTTAAAATCTGCCACCTTGAAATTTTTCTCTAGAAATATTTATTGACTCTACCATCGATTACCTTTCTTTGGGCCGTAGAACCTAACCTATTCACCATGCACGCTAGGATTTGGTTATTTCTATGAAGGCAAGTGAATCTTGGTGGTCAGTGAGGAAAGCAAGGCCTAATGTGGAAAGTCGTCATCTTGATTCAGTAGATTTTTTTTCTTCTTGGTTGAAACTTATAATTCGTCTTGAATGTAAAGGGTCCTTTTATTAGAGATTACCATTTTATCAATTGGCGCTTTCTTCCCACATGTTAATGTTAAATGCACATACATACTACAGGAGGATGTTCTTTATGCAAGAATAAGAACAACCGGCGTTGCAGAGATCCAATTCAGGTGAGCCTTATGATTATCACACCATTCAACTTTCAGTGTTTTTCTGACTCAAATGGATCAGATTTCTTCTGTTCAGAGAACAAAATTTGTTCCAATATACATAATTTTTTTTTACTGAGTTCCGGGTTTGATTCTCACCTTTGCACGCTCAGATGAAAGTGTGCCTCCCCACGTTGGTTTTGCTCATTGTTTGCTTGTTGTTCATTCATTTACACGCCACAGTCGGCATTCGAATTGGCAGAATGTGATGAAACTGAAGGCGAGCTTCCTTCCTCTTTCAGCCCCGTGGGCGAGAACAAGAGGAACGGGGAGGTGTACAAGCTGTTCGACGCGGGGGGTCAGAGAAACGAGAGGAGGAAGTGGATCCACCTGTTTGAGGGGGTCACCGCCGTCATATTCTGCGCCGCCATAAGCGAGTACGACCAGGCGCTCTTCGAGGACGAGACCAAGAACCGGATGATGGAGACGAAGGCGCTCTTCGACTGGGTCCTTAAGCAGCCCTGCTTCGAGGTCCCGACTCTCAGACCTCCCCCTTCCTCCTCCTCCTCCTCTTCTTCTTCTTCTTCTTCTAGATCTGTGGGTGGAATTCTTGCAGAAAACCTCCTTCATGCTCTTCCTCAACAAGTTCGACATATTCGAGGAGAAGGCGCTGAAGGTAAACGCCCCCAGCCACCGTGCTCTTGGTCAGCAATCATCATCCCGCAGAGATCTCTGATGAGTTCCCCCAGCCCTGCAGGTCCCCTTGAGCGTCTGCGAGTGGTTCAAAGACTACCAGCCCGTCTCCTCTGGGAAACAAGAGGTCGAGCACGCATACGAGTAAGCCCCATCCCCCGCACCCGGCCCGAAAATCAGGTTTAGCAAGGAAATTAGGCCCGGCCCGGAGTTGACTATCTGGATTTTTCTACTGCCCGGGGTGGGGTTGGGTCTCGCAGGGAGTTGACCTGTGGGTGTTTTCCGCAGGTTTGTGAAGAAGAAATTTGAGGAGCTGTATTTCCAGAGCAGTGGGCCGGAGCGGGTGGACCGGGTGTTCAAGATCTACCGGACGACGGCCCTCGACCAGAAGCTCATCAAGAAGACGATCAAGCTCGTGGATGAGACCCTCCGGAGGAGGAACCTCCTCGAGGCCGGCCTTTTGTAATGGTCACGCGCCTCCCACGCCTGGATGGATTCGTGATTCTTTCTCTCTCATAGCGGGCATCTCGCTGCTTGCTCATCCTCTCCGCAGAGAGAGAGAGAGAGAGAGAGAGAGAGAGAGAGAGAGAGGATGGGTCATCACCAGTAGTCATTGCAAGAGCAAGAGCCCCGTCCAAAGTGGTGGAACCGAGTCCGATCCCTAACTATGATCTCCCGTCCGAGAATCTTGGAGGTGGCCTTCAGCCAGGAGTGGCAGTCCTCGCAGGTGCGGAGGTTCTTCGAGACTCTGATCTCCGCGCCGGGCGCCGTCTTGATCACGGCGTAGGCGACGGCAATCTTCTCGCTGTGAGAGACCAAATTGGCCTCCTTATCTTCCTCCAGCAGGTCCATCACCACCGTCTCCGCTGTCGGCGCAAAGCCCACCCCCCTCGCAGCCCTCGTCAGCGCCGCCAGCACTCGCCGTATCTCCTCCGCCTCGGGAAGAGCCCTCCACCGCTCCCCGGCCTGAAACTCGCAGACCCTCCCTCCGAGCTCCACGCAGCTTATACCCGGGGGCTTCCTCACCCTATCGGTCTTCATCTTCCTCCACACCGCCTCTGCGCAGCGCCACCGCCCCGCGGCGGAGTACAAGCCCGAGAGCATCACGTAGTCGCCACTGCAGCGGGCGGCGCCCATCTGCGCCGTCGCTGCAGCGGCGATATCGGGTCTCCTCCCGTGCTTGCGGCAGCCGCTGAGCAGCGCCCGCCACACGGCAGCGTCCGGCGGCACCGGCAGGGCCCTCGTGGCGCGGTGGGCCTCCTCCAGCCGCCCCGCGCGGGCCAGGAGGTCGACTACAGCGGCGTAATGCTCCTTGCGGGGCTCGAGGGAGTGGCGGAGCTTCATGGAGAAGAAATGGTGGAGACCTTCCTCGACCAGGGCGCAGTGGCTGCAGGCCGTGAGGAGACCCACGAAGGTGATGGCGTCGGGGGCCGCCGCTCCTCCCTCATTGAGCATTCTGTCGAACAGTTGCAGGGCCTCCCGGCCGTGGCCGTGGATGGCCAGGCCGGAGATCATGGAGTTCCATACAGAGGCGTCGGTCCTGGCAGCCGTTTCAAATACCCTCCTGGCCAGGTCGATCTTCCCGCACTTGGAGTACATGTCGATCAATGCCGAGCTGAGAATGGGGTTCATCTCCACCTGCTTGCTCTGCATCAGGTCGTGAACCTGCTGGCCCAGGGCTAGGGCGCCGGCGCGGGCGCACGCCGAGAGGACGACGGAGAAGGTGAAGCCGTCGGGCTCGATGCCCAAGCCGAGCAACCTGCCGAACAGGGCCATGGCCTGGTTAGGCCGGGAGACCCTAACCCAGCCGGCGGCCATGGTGTTCCAAGAGATCAAGTCCCGAGCGGGCATTTCGTCGAACATCTGAGCAGCGTCCTCTGTTCGTCCGTTCCTCAAGTAGGCTGCGAGGAGCAGGTTCCCTGGTAGGGGGTCTGAAATCCGGCGCGGCATTTCGTCGAACAGAGAACGGGCTTCGCGGAGACAGTGGCGATCTAGGTAGAGACGGAAGAGGGAACCGACGAGGGAATCGCAGAAGCAGAACCCCGTCTTTATCATCCTCCCGTGGGTTTCACTTACTGGGGCCAGGTCTCCGGAGGCCCTGCAGGCTTCCAAGTCCAGCCAGAGAGTCCGGCGGCCGTTCTCGAGGGTCCCCAAGGACATGAGAGACCTGTAGTCGGAGAGAGCATTCAGGGAGGAGCCCTTCACGATGGAAGCTCGGATAGCAGAGTCGCAGCGCGGCCATGGCCTCTCCTTGAACCCCTCCGTTGAGAGGCATAGCAGCCACAGAAGGCGGCGGCTGCTGCGTCTTCTTCCCAGAGCTGGGATTCGAAGCCCCTGGCACCTCAAGTTATCGGTCTGCATCGTTGGGGAGGGCGGCTCTGGCCGATTCCGAAGGTGGGCCGAAGCCTCTCCCTATCAAACGCCACCCCACCTCACGCAGACCCTCGCCGCCTAACTGCCTCCGCTGATCTTCTCCTTCCATCATCCAGACGACTGGTAAGGCTTCTGGGAAGCGGATGTGTGTATGCGTGTGTGTAAGAGAGAGAGAGAGAGAGAGAGAGAGAGAGAGGGTGATCTCAGACCACCCCATCCACGGTCAACTGAGTTTTCTGGTTATTGGTGTAAAAAAGTCGTACGAAGAAAGTTGGGTTTTTTTTTACGGTGTCGTATTGTCCCCCATCATATTAGGGTTTGAAGGCGCCGGATTCTGCTCCTGCGCGACCAATAGGAATCCGTTCACTTTCCCATCCCCACCTCACCCAGGTCGGTCATCGGATTCCTCTGTTCTCGGCGCCTGGAGGAAGTTTTATGATCGGACGATCCCAGCAGAGGTCCTCAGTGTTCTTCGCGTTCTGTGAGCGGATCTCCCGTGAAGATATTACAAATACGTAGATATATATCATTTAGAGGGGAGGAAACAAGAGGGGTTACGTGCGCTTGCAGCTGATTCAGGTTCGTAGAGAACGGGCGAGAAGCTCGTTCTTCCCCTCTGAAGCTCCCTCGCCCCCGTCGCCGTTTCCTCCGCATTTCTTTCTCCTGGATTCCTCTTTCCCTCAGTGCCCGCGATTTAGGTTTATGAGTGTTCCGATTCGAGGGAAAGGGAAGAGATTGGCCGGAGGGCGGAATTTCATGGAGATATTCCCCGCTCGTGGGCGTTGTCGCTCCTCTTTCCCCCTTCCATCTTCGTCTATCCCCGGGAGGAGAACCCACCAGCACCATCCCTCTCTCTCTCTCTCTCTCTCCCCCATATGTTCGATGGATTCCTTTCCTGAAGGGGAGCTTCGTCGTCTTCCTCCCTCCCAATTCTGACCACACTCCCTATGGGACTTTTCAGGGAGGATATTCGTACGCCATTTCCCGGATTTGGCTTAAACAGAGCAGTCGGCCGGGCTCTGTACCGTCGGAGAGCTGCAGCAGTCCTTGCGAGCGCTCGTCGGCCATCGAGGGAGGAGTCTCCGTCGCGCGGAGATGAGCCATGGAAGCAGTTCTCTCGCCTCTGGTAATCTAGGCTTCATCGCAACTTGGTTTCATAGGGGTTTTTTCTGTCGGATCATCATCAGGGATTCGATCTAAGGCTGAACTTGATGGAATCACGCAGGTGCCAGGAGGTCGTTCGAATTCGGGAGAACCCATGTGGTGCGCCCCAAGGGAAGGCATGAAGCTACCGTCGTCTGGCTTCATGGGCTAGGCGATAATGGTTCTAGGTATTGGTCCATCTTTTTTCTCATCATTCCTCTCTTGGTTCTGAAAACTGCTGCCTGTCCAAACCCATCGAGTACCTGGGACTGGAAGCCTCATGAACTGTGTGAACCAAGATTTTTCAGCCGATTTTGTGAGCATGGCTAGAACGATCTTCGTAACTTCTGATGATGATATGATCTGATCTGAAGTTGCTCATGCTTGCCTCCTGGGAGTGTTTGTGTGTGTGTGTGTGTGTGGCCGGGCATCATCATCATCATCATCCACTGGTATAACTTATGGTTTTGATCTGGGTCAAACCCAGATACGTCAATATGCTGCATGGATTTATCTGTCCGTTTTCTCGTAATATTTTCATCATGCATCATTGATCTTTAATTTTTCTTTTTTCAGCTGGTCGCAACTCCTAGAGACGCTTCCTCTCCCGAACGTATGGATGATCACTCATCGATCCTTATGTTCTTTGATATGAGCTCTGTTCATCTTAGTCTTCATCCTACGATCACACAAAGTATTTAGATTTTGATGGAGATACTATGTTATTTATGCCGTCTCTGACGGAGCTCAACTCCACAAAATGCCCACGTACAGATTAAGTGGATATGTCCAACCGCTCCGACCAGACCTGTAGCGGTCTTCGGCGGATTCCCCTGCACGGCATGTGAGAGATTAATCTCCCGCTTTGAGCATCTCGCTGTGTATCCCCAAGCCGTCCTCCTTCCAATCTGGGGCGATTTTCTGTGGCAGGGTTCGACGTGGGGGAACTCTCGGAGGACGGGCCTGACGATGTGGAGGGCTTGGATGCGTCAGCTGCCCACGTGGCGAACCTCCTGTCCACGGAGCCCTCTGACAGTAGGCCTCCAACGATTTCTCGGTTGGTTCCTCCGTTGACTTTGGTGGCGTCATGATTGTTTTCCGACGCGTTGGTGTGCAGTCAAACTTGGCGTCGGGGGCTTCAGCATGGGCGCTGCGACGGCTCTGTACTCGGCTACTTGCCATGCCCTTGGGAAATATGGGAACGAGAACCCGTACCCAGTCAACATCAGGGCTGCCGTTGGTCTGAGCGGCTGGCTTCCATGCTCCAGGTTTGTAAGCCCATCTGGATCGAGTAGCTGCTAGTATAAAATGGGGGTGTGTTCGACCCTGGAGAAACCATCTGCCATGATATAATGCTGGAATTGTTGGTTCCATCCCTTCCGACTTGAAGCCAGTTGGTGATGACAAAGTTAGGCCCATCTTCACAAATCGCAGGTCTACTTCTGCGATGATCAGTATGAGACAGAGAGATGCCTACCATGCAATCCCTCGTAATCTTTTGTTGGCTATGGAATAGGTTCTGCCGGCCCCACCGGGGGGTGAGATACAGCTGACTGACTGACTGACTGACTGACTGACTGACTGACTGACTGTTCTCCGTGGTTCTCTGTTCACCTTTTTGGCCTGGCCAGGATACTGAAGGGCAAGGTAGAAGGCTCCCAAGAAGCTGGAAGTCGTGCTGCGGCTTTGCCGATCTTGCTTTGCCATGGAAAAGGTATCTCAAAGCTGCAGCGCTGGGCTTCTTGCCTCTTTATTCTCCTACCTTTTTACGCCGTGGATAGATAGCAGTTGTTGTTCTTGAGCACTTGGTTTTCGGTGATTAGCCTGTCCTCTGTGAATCCTGAAAAAATAAATAAAGAAAGCTCTTTTCTTGGTGGCTAATCAACCCCCCACCCTCCCCTCTCCGCATCATAAAGCTCTTTTCTTTGGGTGCTATTTGACTGTCTCCGGTATAATTCCTCGCGGGTTTGCTCCGTTTAATTTAGGATTCAAACTATCTTCTGAGAAATCTCTCGCCGATCTTGGTGGGCGTGTCTGATGCTTCAGACTGTATTGCTCTTCCTTTGCTGCCGTCTTTCAGGGGACGACGTGGTCCTCTACAAATATGGGGACGGTTCTTCCAAGGTCTTGGCTTCCTCTGGATTCCAGAATCTCACCTTCAAGACCTACAATGGGTGGGCACCCTTTCCCCTCGATTCAACCAACCAAGTCAATAGCCGCCTCCCTTCCCCCCCGGCCCTCGTTTCTTCGTCTGACATCTCTCTTCTCCTCGCAGGCTTGGGCATTACACGATCCCCGAGGAGATGGACGACGTCTGCAAGTGGCTCACGACAAGCTTGGGACTCGGCGGGTCCACCTCCTGATTTCCCGCATTTTCCCCGCCTATTCTCGAACAATCAAATCGAAAACCTTGTGGGTTTGTGATCGTTGGATAATATGATGATTATTGGCAGATGGGTAGTGAGTTCTTCGTGGGTCTGGGTCACATGGTTTTGAACCCATGTTCTATCTAGAGTCTGCATTTCTTTCTCCTAGAGTTTTGTGGTGCAGGGCTTCTGGACTCAATCATGTCTGCGTGCTTCTCTCCCGGATTCCACTGTATATCCTGCTGCCGACGGCCAGGTATAGAGAGAGAGAGAGAGAGAGAGAGAGAGAGAGAGAGAGAGAGAGAGAGGTGCACTTTAAAATCGACTGTAACCTTGGGTCAGTTCATTATACTTCTCTCTAAGCCTGGGATTCGTAGTTGAAAACTCTGTAAGAACTGGATCGAGCTAGATACTCCTAGAGGAAAAGCCCCCTCTCCCTCGTAGTTGACGGAACAGGTCTCACCGGAATATGACACACAAGATTTGGCTACTGGCCAACCCGCTGAATCCAATGCTTGCTTATACAAACACAGAGAGAGAGAGAGAGAGAGAGAGAGAGAGAGAGAGAGAGAGAGAGAGAGCAGGAGGCCCCATAGAACAATCATTCATTCTCAACTACTTGAGAAGATCAGCAGCAGCAGCAGCAGCAGCATTCCTAGGTCTTCTTTTCCCTGTCCCCCTTAGCTTCTTCCTTCCAGGAGCAGAACTTCCTGCTCGTAGCGCTACTTTCCATACAGGCTGCATCTGCTGCAGGACAACCCATTTCAGCGCTCTAGAAAGCCACCCGATCAGAGGGCCACGGTGAAGCTTAAAACGGATGCTGAATAGCGAAAAAAGAAGAGTGGGCAACCTTCCCAGGAGGCGACGACCCAGAATATCAACGAGACGAAATCGAAGCAACTAAGGGAGCATGCATACCCGAGAAAAGCACTGGTTGCAGAGCCTCCATAGCCCCAGACGTACGCTGTGTGGCTTCCGGGCTGTCAGAGCAAGTCCTCATCATCTGACATCCTCATCCATCTTCTGCGCCGACGAGAAGAAGGGCGCACCTCTTCGACGACAGGGTCATCCGTGTCATCCCCGGCATCAGTAGGTCGCTCCCCATCGAAGATCTCCCCCCACTGTGGCCGGGGTCTCCTCTGATTCCTCACTTGCATAGATTCGCTTCTTGGGCCAAAGGAGATGACCAAGCGAGGATGAAGCTGCGAAGCACCTTCATCCTCTTGCTGAGGAATCCGCACATACAGAGAGATGAGAAAGCGGGGGCTCATATACACAGATGCTCCAACCTCCTCCTCGCTGCTGCCAATGACAGCGGCTTCTCTTCCATCAATGAAGAGGGGCTGAATGGTGCTGAGCAGGTCGCCAATGTCACGCTGCCGCTCCATCCTTGTCCAGTCACGCTGTCTCTCTGGGTCGGTATCTGACGGCCGCATGGCGGAGTGCTCCATTCTTGCATGCTTTCTCAATTCTCTATATGTTCCACTAAATTTACATGACTCAAGCGAGCAGTCCCGAACTTTGGCATTCATGAAGGTACGGGCTGCAGATATAACAATCGTACTTTTCACCCCTCCACGGCAGAGTGGGCATAATAGATTGAGAGATTTCTCATCCCCCTTGTTCTCTTGGCATGGGGCACTACTCGTAGAAGCCTTGCGGAACTGATCGAGGCAGTTTGAATGCCTGTAGCTTGTGTCGCACATGTATGGTCGACAGCCCTTATCATGGGAGGCGCAGAGGAGGAGAACTGCATTGTGAGGATGCTCCATACACACAGGGCATCGAGCTTCTTCCCATTCTTTGATGTCTGCATCTGAGGCAGCTGGTTCATTTGAGTACTGCGAGGACGATGAAGATCCTTTCTGATAACTGGAAGAGCCACGAGGGTAAGGTGCGTGCAAATGCCGTTCAAAGGACACCGAACGGGTTCTATCCTTTGGCATGGTGGCAGAGTAGTCAAGGATAACCGTATATTTTGGTTCCTGAAAAAAATCATCAGAGATTTAGTAAAAAAATAGCACCCTTCTTCCGAAAGTTTAGATATCCTGCAATCTGAACGAGATTCAACCACACAGGTTAATTCAGCAGTTCAAATAAAACGAGTATGATTCTTGTGCAAGATCAATACTAAAACATCATTATACAACTAAGTTTCAGAAGTCAGGATAGCAGCGACATAGACGAAGCTGAATCAAACTCTTGCTTAAACAGATCAACAAAAGCACGCAATTCAAATAAGGTAATTTTTAATTTCGCACAGATTGTGATTAGAAGCCTAACCCACAGCGGCCATCTCCAAGGAACAAAAAACATATTTACAGTTTCATAAGACCATTGTTCCTGTATATATATGCTTCAGGGAAATACGGGGGGAGAAGCCTAACAAGAAGATGATTCTCCACGAGCTGGCACACGAAACGGTTACAATCAGGTTTACTTATTGCTACTTACATTCACTTATCGCTATGATTTTAATCACACGGTGAATCGAGCGTAAGCGAATCATGTAATGAGATCATGGCAGAGCCTGTACATTAGCTATCCACTACTGCTGCTGATATATACCTTTTCAACTGTTTAAGACCTGTAAAAGATTAAAGATATCTAGGCAATGAATTCCCCAAAAAACAAACGTGCAGCAGGTTATTATAGTTTCGCAAAGATTAGATGTAATCCGCGTGCAACATAACAACGTTCTTCTCCTAAAGCAAATGCTCTTTGAGAACACAGTGATGCTGAATTTCTACGTACAATCAAACAATATTTTCCCCTCGTTCATACAAATAGAAATAAACAGACAATTCTCTGAAATGATTTCCTGTCATACACAAAGACCGGTGTGGACCGTTCTTTGATCCCCAGAGGGATATAGTAGTCCCCCAAGATCCAACATCAACCAAAACCCTACCCAATCGCACGACCAAAACATTAACACCGACGAATCGAAGCCAAAAAACGACGGAATGGACAAGAATTGACCCTCATCCTGATACCTCGCAAGAGGAGAAACCTGGCGTAAAGAATCCACCAGGAGCAACACAAGCGGAGACACAAAGTGCAGTGGAGACTCGGGGGGAGGAGCGTGCTCAAAAGGCCTGGGATCCCCAACACCCTAGGGTTTCACAATTACCTGAAGAGCTCTTTCCCCGCCGATTTGCGGCGACGGCACGGCGAGCGCGACCGCAACGAGCGCTCGCTGACGACCTCCTCACACGGTATGTACAGAGTCTTCGAAGGTTCCGCGCGAGGAGGGGGGAAGAGCCCTGTCACCGGCAGCGCAAGGAGAAGACGCGCCTGCAACTAACCTCCACGGCTTCGCTTGGGTTCTATTTATAGCCCGATCCCGAACTGGCTGACGTGTGAATGACGTATGCTGTTTTTTTTTCTTTTTAATCTTATGGGGTCCACCGCGTTCACTTGCCTCTCGTTCGCGACCGCAGGAGGGGCAAGGTAGGCCCCACTGTATGTTTATGACGCCATAAACGTATTATTCACCACCACGTTCGAGCCGAAAGGGCGTGTAGTCCCTGTCATCGTTATTTCTCCAACGAATCGCTGGTTGGCGACCAGCCGGCTTCCTGCTTCCATCGTGTTCGAGCTCGGCTGAGACAAGTTCTCCGAGAGATACGGAGCGCAGATTATACCAGAGGCAGAGCTCTTGGATGAGGGCTCAGCTCCAGAAGCTTCCCCTGCCCCCGCCGCCATGCCTAATCGAAGGCGTCGTCGTCTTCATCCGGGAGCGGATGAGCGGCGGCGGCTAGGTCGGCCTCGTGCCTGCAGAGATGAGGGAGGGCAGGAGACCCCACAACAATGAAGATTTGTGTGGCGGTGGGTTGGAGGAGCTTCGATGTACTTACAGTCGTTGGGCATCCAAGTCGATCTGAACCTCGGGGGGGAGCGAGGGCAGGAGACCCCACAACAATGAAGACTTGGGTCCCTGGCCAGGTCAACGCAGCAGAATTCAGGGACCCAAGTCTTCTATGGGGTTGAAACAGGATGGGAGGACAGTCAGATGCGGATGTTCTTCTCCTCACCCGGCGAATTTTCTGGCCAGATAGAGGAAGGGCTTATCGAAGTTGAAATTGCTCTTCGTGGAAATCTCGTAGTACTGGAGGTTTTTATTCCGGTGGAAGGTCACCTTCTTCGCATTCACCTGGTTGTTCTTGACGGCGACTTTGTTCCTGACCATGGTCTTGACGTCGTCGCCGATCATCCACCGCACAGACCGACATCTCAGATCTCAAAGCAATCAAGAATGGAAGACTTACTAGTACCCATCCTTGAGGCCGCCGAATTTCTCCTGCCCAGCCGTGTCCCAAGAGTTTGAAGCGGATCTTCTCACGGTTCGTGAACAAGTCCAAGGGGTGGACCTCAACCTCAATGGTTGCTGCAAAAAAAAAAAGAAGAAAACATTGAGGAGATGGGTAGATGCCCTTCTACCCGAAACTGGTGAAAAAGAGGCATAAGCTCGTATTTCTTTTCAAACTCCCCAGTCAGATGCCTCATGGCAAACGTAGTCTTCCCTGAAAGATGAAGTCCGATTAATGGATGAGGCCACTGATGAGGGCTCTCCGACGAATAAAATTGAGATAACGAAGACTGGTTCCATAAAATAACCTGACCTATTGAAAAATGTACAAAGGAAGATCACTTGGTAATACAAGGAAGATAGGGAAAGGGGAACTGAGACTTCCTAGGTCTCGAGGTAGCCGATGTGAGATGGCCAATCTCCAACTCTAGACGGAGTCACTGATATACTTCCTACCCCCCATGATTTGCTGTTTAGTTATTCATATAACCGCTCTTCTTTGGCCTTGAGAAAACCGCTTCCCCATCTCCATCAGACATGTCTCTAAGTTCCAGTCTAATGGCTACATCTAATGGAACGTGGTACTTAATGTTATCCATCTTGGTTGGGTCTTGAGATTATCGTGGGACATCACTGGATCCGTCCGTCCCCCGCACAACCTATCATGTTAGATCTGTCGTACCACCATCATTCACGGGATATGTTTCAGTTGATTCGTGGTCTCTTCTTGGTTTGCTGCTCGCCACCCGTCCAGTCAGATCCTACTCCTTGTTTAGATTGGCTTGGGTTTGAGGCGAGCGCCTTCCACTTGGACCACCTGTGGCCACTAAGGACTCAATAATATTCTCCCCTAATTCTCGTACCTTGCTCTCAAGTTAGAAATTCGGAAACTGTTAGAGGATGTCTCGAGCAGGTTCCCACATTTCTTTCAAGGGCTTCAGGTCATCCCATTGGATTAAGAGTTCCGGCCCACTAGCACGATGCTGGATGTCCTAGAGGGCACTTGGCTCTGCCATCCAGCGCAGCTCGTCGTTTACTAGTAATGTTGCAAATGTTTCATTGTCCTCACGTGGAAGACAAGGTGGACACAGGCTGATAAGCGTTTTTGCTGGTAGGCGACTGGCCCAATACGCCCTATGATTTTGAATGGCTGGAGACAAAGGTAGACCTAGTCTCTGACATCAAACTCGAGCTCACGTCATTGACGGTTCACAAATGCCTTCATCCTTGATTGCGCATGCTCCAAGTATTGCTTGAGTTGGTGCATGGCATCCTCCATAGACGATATGGAAATGGGTGGTTCCCATGAAGCAGTTGTAATTCGTGTTGAACTAGATTCCCCCCTCCCCCCCCTCAAGAAAGTCATTTATGTCATTACTTAGGATGTTCTCTGACAAAGTGGCAAAGGTACATTTCTAGTCCACGATTGACCACGTCCAACTAGTCGTCGATCTGCATATGAGAAGCACTTGCCCACTAGAGTGTTGTGCCTTGTTGATGGAATAGAGCTTGTTACAAGTTGCTCATGAAGATGTGGTCATAGTATGTCATAATTGACGCTGAAAACTTATGCAAATGGATGATGTCATATGAAGATTTCTACTATGACATAACTAGAAAGTAAATGTCCAAGAGCTGCAGAATGCACATGCTTACTGAAGCGATCTACAATGGCCATGACATCATTCTAGTCATCGAAAGAGGGTAAGCCTTTGATGAAATCTATTGTGATATCCTTGTAGATTCTCTATGGTCTTAGTAGTGGCTGGAGGAGTCTTATTGGTAAGAGAGTGTCCACCTTTTTGTCTTGATAAGTTGTATATATCGTCATGGCTACACTTGCTCTTTTATTCTCATCCATCAAACGTTGCATTTGAGCTAGAGATATGTTAGTTGAAAATCAAAGTGACCATTGATTGTTTAATCGTGAAATTCATGCAACAGTAGTGGCATGAGTTTTAATGTCTGTGGGAGTATTATATGCCTATGTGGAATAAATGACTATGTTGGATTGCATGATGCTTCCACTTTTCTAATTTAGTTAGAAGTGTATCAATGATCCTCCGAAATTGAAGGTTTTTGTGTTTTCTTGAGTAATTTGATCAAAGGTCTAATAGTTTTAGATGAAATATTGACATTGGCTGAAGTTATACATGCTCCGATGCACATGACAGGAAGTTTGTCACTCAATTTTCATTTATGAACTTGAAACGGATCTCAAAATTGAACAAGATAATCTTTACTAGTCACTTGTGGTACTTTGGTGACACTTCTACTACTCTGCATGTATTTAAGGTTGCATTGATATGTATAAATGATGAATCAACACCCCAGCAAGTATATTGGTAGTCACCCATATACTTCTTTCCCCTCTCAATGGGCTGCTTGGTCATTCATATAGCTTCTCTTCTTTGGCACTGAGAGTACCGCTTCCCGACCTCTACTGGCAAACTCAGAGAGAGAGAGAGAGAGAGAGAGAGAGAGAGGGGTGTGGTCACCGGTTCCTCCATAGCCGACGATGACGAGCTTGAAGGTGGGGCAGTCGGCCGCCTGCTGCATCTCGACAATGGCTGTGTCGGGTGACGGTGAAGCCTATCTGATCAAACCCAGTAACAGCGGAAAGAGGGAGAGCAAGTCACCAGCTCGCCGACGAGGAAGAGAACTCTGCAATACCACCTCAAGAGCTCAGCAACACTGCCTTTGTGTGTGTGTGTGTGTGTGTGTGTGTGTGAGAGAGAGAGAGAGAGAGAGAGAGAGAGAGAGAGAGAGAGAGAGAGAGAGTCTTCGAACCTTCGAGTAAGCAAAAATGGAGAAGACAACAGGGCAATAACCGGGCTCGGACCTAATCCCGTCGAACGGGCTTTTCCCCCGGCCCATAAGATAACCCGGCCCGCGGAATCCCCCGCTAGGGCAGATGACGCTACCGCCTCTTTTCTTCTGCGCGGCCTTCACTCTCGCCCCGCTCTCCCCGTCAGGACCATCGCCACCGTCGTCCTTCTTCCGTCCTCTGCCAGCATCCCCGATCTTCCCGCCGGCGGCCGCTCGGCGGGGAGCTTTCCGGTCTGGTCGCCTCTGGGGGCAGCCTTCTGGTCTGCCCTGACTGCGGTGTCTTGCTGCTCTAATTGAGGCGGTCGTCTTCCGGTGGACAGTCCCAACCATCCGCTGCGGTGTCGCTCCGTCGGATCACCGTCTCCCCGTGGTACCGTCAGTGTCTCCGGTGTGGCTCCGTTCGTCCGCGATTTTCTTACAGGTACTACTCTCATGCTCATGCTCATGCTCATACTCATGCTCATGCTCATACTCATGCTCATGCTCTGTCGCCCGAGGTGGAGGGGAGTCGCGTTCCCAGTCGACATCCTTGCGGATTGATTCTTTCTCCTGTAGCCTACCCGCATACCTGCTGGCTTTCTGTGTTCTCTAGTAGCGTATCACATTCCACCTGAAAGATTTACATGCTGGCAATGAATGTTCGCTTGCCATTGCGTTGCTGATTTTCATTCATTGCTTTTCTTGCTGCTGAAGGTGAAGACAACCGTGAGATAGTGCGGGAATCCACCGAAAACTTTGACTAATGGTTGTGGTATTGCAGCGATTTTTTTCTGCATTATTTTTAGCGAAAAAACGAGAACAATGTTTGACGATCGGTTAGGACTATGTAATGGATCCCATCGTCCTCTTGGTCAAATGCTTTAGTGTGAATCGAAAAATCAGGAAAGTGATAGGGCTCCCAGTTTTTCTGAGTAGATACTGCCTATGGAGCGTCGAGAAGGGCAATTCCTTGTCCGAGGTGGACAGAGGACCTGCGACCAACAACTGGCTAAATGTTCAAGGAAGTTCCAACACGGAAGACCTTTTCTTTTGATGTTGGTCAATTTGTCCCCTCTGGGGGTTAGCCTTGTTTTCACATTAAGCATACCCCAATGAAGATCCTTGATTCACTGCTACATATGGAGAAACTGGGGGCGATGGGAGTCCCTTTAAGACGCTCGCAAATCTCCAACCTAGGGTTGGGGCATTTTCGACTACAAGGACGCAGAGTAAATGCTTAAGAGAAATTATCAACACATTATAACCTTGAGAAAAAGTTTTCAAGGTTCGTGGCTCCTTTGGGTTCATTATAATATCAAACTTCATGTGTCGTACCCTTCTTCTGAAAACAGTCCTGTATGTCATAATGGAGGCTTAAACGTTGGTAGGCGAGCCTCTTTCATACTATTGAATTGTTTTTCGGCTCTGCTTCCAATTCCTGCATATGTTTCGTATGATATCGATGCCTGCCAAGAAGTAATACTTTTTTCTCTTCCGAGTATCTCAATTGTATATCTTTATGTTTGCCAATGATTCGGAATCGACAAAGTTTCGTATTCACAAGAATCATCCAATGTTAAACTCCAAGTTTTTATGGACGACTGGCTCTGATACTTCATCATAGTTTTAGACACGAAGAATCTGATGGCCACAGATGATTGGATCAATTGTACTGTCAAGATGATTTCATATATTCCCTCGAGTTTCATGAGATCATCATGAAAATAAATGTTGTGTAAATGATCACGTCAACTTAGCGTAATCAAACAAAACCTAGTCCTAATCAGTTTGATGTTCTTCACATGAAATAGGTTGTATTTTTTGATACCTGAGTCAAGAGACATACTGAAAGTTTATATAATTTCGTCTTTGGTTGTGCAAAAAAGATAATCTGGCATCTCTGTATGTGATTATTTTCGTTTAATCTCTTTTATCCCATGATCACATGGTATGGGTGTCCTCTTTTTCATTGGACCATCTCTTCAAATGTAGAAGGGAACGGATAAATGTGTGTAGAAACCTGATAAAGACAGTAGTTTCATCTGTTTCAGTAGAGAAAATAACATAACTTTAGGAGCTTCTATGCTTTCCTTACTTCATTCTCATTTATTCTTTTGTTTCGTTCTTCTGGTCTGATGTATCTCGGACGGAAGAAAGAACCCCGAAGAACTGGAGAGAAGGGCAGGATGCCTCTTTATGATTGTCTAATGTTACTGAAGTCCCGCATTGACAAGGGACAATTGAAGGACCTAGTTGGCAAGGTTGCCACCCATGTTTACTCTAGAAATGGAGTCCTCACCGACATCAAGTCTTTTGGGGCTGTTCAGTTGGGATACGGCATCAAGAAGCTGGATGGAAGGCACTATCAGGTGCGTGTTCATCTTCCCTTACTGTGAGATCACACCTCCCTGTGGTTGGCATGCTTTTAGATGCATTTCTTCTCCTCTTCTCCGCGTATCTACTTCATTTTCATGGTTCTAGGAGAGGGGCCACGTATAGCCTTCATTTCTCTGTGTTGGGTAATCTTGACCCTGCTTTGGATGATCCTGGTTGACCTGAGCAAAGTCAATCAATCCGGGGTTTATTATCTGACTGCCTGATAATTCTATAAAGTCAACAAATGTTCCTTCTCTTCTCCGAATTCTCCCTACTTCTACCACCTAATTTTCCGGAACATCAAGGATGATTACGTTAATAATCTCTTCAATAAACACTTTATATGTAATTCCCCGGATCAATGAAAACCTCTTCATCAACAATGAAGATATTTATAATCTCGTGTTTTTCTCTGACTATTTTCATCGCCACCACCTGATTTCGCAGCACCTCGACGATGATTTCATCGATAATTAATCTCTCCGATAATTACCGTTTATTTTCCTTAAGAAATGCCTCACTCATGTTCTGGTCCAAGTACTCCGTCACTGATCCGTTCTGCGACAGATAGCATCGTTTCTCAGTTACTGTTTACTCCCTCGTCGCTGCAACCAGAGTTTTCGTAGCAGACCGCTCATCCTCTCTCTGTCCTTGCCCAGGGCCAACTCATGCAGATGACCATGATGGTCCCTCCGAGCTTTCCCAAGGAACTGCACTACCTGAGCAAGGAGGACCGGCTCCTGCGCTGGCTCGTGGTGAAACACAGGGGCGTCAAATATGGGATCGAGTTCCTGAACGAGGAAGAAGGCCGGGGCGGCCTGCGGTTCCCCACCGGCAGCCTCACCACCAGAGACGGCGACGACGACGACGAGGACGACGAGGACGAGGATGAAGAAGACGCCGACGTGGACGAATTCGGGGAGGAACAGGAAAATACCGTCCGCGTAGACTAGGTTGACCCTTCCACAATAAGCAAGTCGGGTCTCTCTGTCGTTGACTTTCTGTTCTGAAGATTTCATTTTTGAGGCCAAAATCTAGATCAGTTTTTCTTCTTCTCTGGGTTCTCGATGATGATGATGCATACGATGGGTGAACACAGAGGGAGGGGTCATGCTCTTGGCAATGGGGCTTCCGACAGTTACAACCCACCCACGGGTTTCGCCCCCCTCCCCCTCCCAAGCCAGCGGAATCCACAAATGAGGAGGAGCCTGCCGTCGGCTTGCCGGAGAAGTTTTGCCGCTGAGATCCCGGAAAACCAGGCGGCAGAGAGCCTGAATACCGTCGACTGGACCCTCTGTTTCTTCTTCTTCTTCCTCCTCCAGGTTTCTACAAATACCACCGCCTCCGCTCCAGCTTTAGTATAGAGGACGGCTTCCCCCTGGTTCACGGCCTCCCACTGAAGGTCCATTGAGTGAGGAAGAGAGAGAGAGAGAGAGAGAGAGAGAGAGAGAGAGAGAGAGAGAGATGGGTTCAGTCGCGCGCGCCGCCGTCGATCAGAAGCTCGCCGTGGCCAAGCGCTGCTCCCACGGTGAGACTGCTCCCCCCCTTCTCTCTCTCTCTGTCTTTCTTTCTCATGGGCGGCATCGGCCGAGGCGCAGAGGGGGTCCTCTGCGGAGCGAAGGCGGCGGCGGTTGCGAGCGTGGCGGCGGCAGTCCCAACCCTGGCCTGCTCGCGGATGCTACCGTGGGCACGGGGCAACCTCAACGCCACTGCGCAGGCCCTCATCATCTCCACAAGTAGAACCCGAAGAACCCTGCGTCTCTCTCTCTCTCTCTCTCTAACCAGTCAGTGAGGTGTTGGCCATGCAGTTGCCGGGGCAGCCTTCTTCATCGTGGCGGACAAGACCGTTCTGGCCTTGGCGAGGAAGAACTCCTTCAAAGAGGGATGAAGACGACGACGGCGATACGATGATGATGTTGACAAGTGGGATAATAAGGGCAAGGTTTTAACTACGTGCTTATTTTTTGGTCTGAGATCCGAGGAGAGGAACCGTCGTAGGGCTATTGGGCCTCGTACCCAATAACACGGTATCGGATCCAAACTGACCCATTTTCGGTCCACACGGTCTAGCTCTGTACGGCAACTCGTGTCTGCGCGGTTGACACCGAGGCGGCCCCGACTCCGAAAATAACCAAAAAAAAGAGCAGAGCGAATTGAACTCTCGACGAGCCGTCGGATTTATCAGTGATCTAATCGATCGACGGTCCCGATCCAGAAAGAGGGAGAGTTCCTAGGTGGTCGACACGTCAGATGAGAAAAAGAGAGGATCACATGAGAGAGAGAGATCAGTCAGTCAAGTTATTCTTGACGGCGCGGGTGGGGAGGATAAGAGCGGCGGAAAAGAGAGAGAAAAGAGAGAGAGAAATTATAAAAAAGGATGCAACTCCCGAAGAGAGAGAATCGAATAACTCCAGCCTTCAGTGCTTCTTCACCCCCCCCCTTTTACTTTCATCTCTCTCTCTCTCTCTCTCTCTCTCTCTCTCTCTCTCTTTTCCTCTCTTTAACGTCGCCCGATGGGAAGCCGCATACACGTCGAGAGGAGGGGCGAGGGAAGCCGTGAAAGTAAAAGCCACCAGTGCGGCCCTCGGCGCTAGAGAGAGAGAGAGATTCATTGAGAGAGAAAGAGAGAGAAAGAGAGAGAAAGAGAGAGAAAAAGAGCCGAATCTGAGAGGAAAAGGGGGGTCAACACCATCCTCCAAAGCTACTTCGACCCACCCCAAGATCCCCACTTTATCGAAACTCCCACACACACACTCTCCCTCTCTTTTACTCTCTCTCTCTCTCTCTCTCAGTAGCTGGTGCATGCATGCATGCATGGAGGGGGCGAGGGAGCGAGCGGAGCGTCGTCGATGTTGACGTCAAGGTATGAGGTAGCGACGGTCCACTGTCAACGAGGCCCGGACCAGCCCGTCACGGTCACAGGGCCCCCACCGATCCTGTAAAAAGCTCATTGTAAACACGGGCCGGGCCGAATGCGTGGAAAGCCCGCGAAAGACACGTAGGAGCCATAGATACGTAGCACGTGCGGGGGCGATCAGTAGAAATGTACTGTACTCCGCCATCCTTTCTGATGAAGACGGCTGCTGAGAGACCGCCTCCGCTTTTATAGAAAGAAGAGAAAGGCTGTTGCTGGCTGCTGTCCTACTCTCTCTCTCTCTCATAAACTTCGAGAGGGCGGCAGCGCATTTCTCGCAATCGACGGGTATAAAGAGGAACCCCCGAGGTTCCCCTCTCTTCAGCGAACAGCGCACGGCCGGAGACGAAGGAAGAGAGAACCCTTCGCCTGTCGCTCGCCCGCCGCTTCTCTCCTCCATCCCCTTCATTCACCTCCAGAGGTGAGTAAGCAACAGGGCTATATACCCTCTCTCTCTCTCTCTCTCTATCTCTGTGCCATCTTCCTATGCACAGACTCTAGATATTTCCGTTGGACGTGGACTAGGTGCTCGAGACTATTCCCCAGATGGGATTTAGCTGAGCTTACGACGCCCGAAGACGGCGATTAGGCCTCCTTGCGTTCTTGCGTCCCCCACCCACCCCGAAACAAAAATTATTTCTTTCTGGGGTTATTATTCCGTGCTGATCCGCTTGTTTTAAAAACGGGTTGCAGCTGAGATGAATAGAAAACCCGGCGACTGGGACTGCGGCGCCTGCCAGCACCTCAATTTCAGCCGGCGTGATTCCTGTCAGAGATGCGGCGAGCCCAGGTCCGGCGACCGCCCCGAGTACGGCGGCTTTGGCGGCGGCTTCGGCGGCGGCCGGAGCGAGTACGGCGGCTTTGGCGGCGGCCGGAGCGAGTACGGCGGCTTTGGCGGCGGCCGGAGCGAGTACGGTAGCTTCGGCAGTGGCCGGGGAGGCTCCTCCTTCGGCGCCGGCGGCGGCTCTTCCTTCGGCGCCAGCGGGGGCTCTCCCTTCGGCACCGGCGGCTCCGACGTCCGGCCAGGCGACTGGTACTGCCCCTGCGGCTACCATAACTTCGCCAGCCGCTCCACCTGCTTCAAGTGCGGGGCTTTCAAGGATGAAACCACCGCCGGCTTCGACGGCGGTGACGCTCTTCGCTCGCGCGGGTACGGGTTCGGCGGTGCCGGTGGTGGCGCCAGCGCTGCCCGCGCCGGATGGAAGTCCGGCGACTGGATCTGCACCAGGTGAACATCTCTCTCTCTCTCTCTCTCTCAGCAAGAAGACAACGATTGAACCATCACAGAGATCGGTCCCGCAGCCCAACGATCCGAGTTTTCTCGATCGGTCTCTCCCTCTTTCCCCATCTCTAGCTATTTAAGTTGATTTATCTCTCTTTGTGATCATGGATGGGATTCACTGCTGTTCAGGACGGGCTGCAACGAGCACAACTTCGCGAGCAGGATGGAGTGCTACAGGTGCAACGCGCCGCGGGAGGCCGGTAATCATCTTCCTCGCGGCGGAGCTCAGCCGTGCTCGTGATCGTCTTCTCTCTACTCCAGCGCTGTTCTGACCACCTTATCCTTCCTTGGCAGGAACTGAGGTCTAAGATCGGCGTTTCAGGGGGAAGCGGCTCCTAACTGGTTCCGAAGACGACGCAGACTTTCTTCCGTTGCAAGTTTTGGCTCCTCTTCCGGCCGGCTTTCAGTGCCTGAAGACTGATCATCCTCTGCATTCTCGTAGGTTTCTAGCAAGCCCTACCCCTCCCCCCCCCTCTCTCTCTCTCTCTCTTTCTCTCTCTCTCTCAGAGTATCCAAGTGCTGGCTCGGTGGCTGGGTATGTCTGCTAGGGTCCTCCTTCTCTCTGTAGGCTCCTGGAAGAGCTTCTTCTTCTCGTCTCCTGTAAGAAGAACTCCCTCTTCCGTTATCTTTATCAGCGTTTCCTGCAGCAAACACCCCCCGTCTTACCTCTCTTCTTCGCATCTCAAGCTCTTTCGCACACACATATATACAATAGAGCGAGCGAGCGAGCGAGAGAGAGAGAGAGAGAGAGAGAGAGAGGATCGGCTGAACGTTTCCCTTCCCAAGAAAGAGGAAAGGTTCATTTTTTGAACTATGCACCCATCGGCGAGAGAGAGGCTGCGACGTGACATGAACGTTTGGAACATGGGCTGGTCCATTTTTAAAAAAGCCCGTTAAATGGAAAAGTTTTCACGGGCCGGCCTGCCAAGATTGGTTCATAATTGTATTGAACTTTGGGCCGGCTCATTATTGGGCCTTCCCGACTAATCGACAAAACGGTCCCCAGATATTGACCAGCTTCGAGTGGGCCCGGCTCAGTCACAGTCACCCACCAGAATGCGGCGTCGTAGTTCCGGCCGTCCCTGAAACGTGTCATTCGTGCTACTATAAGTTCACCAAGTGGACCGTCACGATTGGCTGAATCGCCGAAACAGCCGTTGTACGGACACGATCGAGGGGGGGCGGGGGGGTGGTGCTCATATCCGATCCCAGCTTGTGCGCTGCTCGTGCTCATCCTTCTCTCCCCGCCCGCCCACCTCTGGGCGGAGTTTCCGAGTCCAGTGGGCGCAGCGTCTATACATAGTTTAATCCGTTTTATGAGTGGAAGCAGACCGAGGAGGAGAAGAGAGCCGCGGAAGGACGAAGAATGACTGCATGTGAGTTTTTTTTTTTTTTTTTTTTTTTGCGCTGTTTGATTTTTGACGCGGCTTCGCCTTGATCCGTTCCGTAAGCCCTTTGTGCTCTTCTTACTTTTAGTTTTCTTGATGGTGGAATCGGCAATGCAATGACGCTGGGAATCTTCTTTCCTTGAAACCAGAATAATTCTTTTCCGGTCCCTTTTGTTTTTGTGTGCGGAGTGATCCGAGTGTTGCTTGTTTCGTTCCATCAGATTTCATTGTATTGTTTCGGGTTTTGGGAGTGGCTATTGCATATACTTCTTCGAATCTAGTGTCTCTTCGGCTGTGTTTTGCAATTTTCTGAGGTCTCGGATTCGAAAGTGGCTCAAGTTCCGCAGAGCTTTATTCTCCGTCGTATGCTGCTCTAAAGCCCGACGTGGCATTAGAAACTAGCCTTTTAATCTGCATAAATATTCTCATCAGACTCTTGCCCGCAGTGGGAACCGTCCTCCGGTTGCTATATCTGCAAGCGATTTAGATGAAAACCTTGAATATGTTGCCTTCCATCTTCTCCTTTGTGATCATGAATACGTGCTAATTACTCATGTGATTGGCTACCGCGGTCTAATGTCTCGTGATCATCAACAATGGTTCTTGACTGGTCACTGTTCGGAGAAAATTCTAGGCAGAATGGAAATGTTTCACTGCCTTTACAATGCTCTAAAGTCCATCATTTTCGTTTGTGCGTCTCCCTGTCATGAAGTCGTTTCTAGAGTTATATTTCCTTAAATCATAGCTAGAATGCGGAGGAAACCAGATACCAATCCTTTTGGTTTATTAAGGGCCTTTTAGTATTGAATGGCTGTATATCTTGTTTAGCCCACAGATTCCTTTTCTGATAAGCTTATCTTCTTGCATTAAATTTTTAATGTATTTTGGTTTATCCAGAGGGATGCATTTTGATGTTGAAATGAAAAGTATTTACGATATGAAGTGCTCATGGTCTCAATAGGAAAGTGAGTGAGGACATAAATCAACATCTTCTCTCAGACATGTTCTTCTTAATCCATGAAAAAGATTTGGTTGGAGATTCATGGATTTTCAGGGTGCCACAGTGATTCTGTATTTGAGCAAGGGTTGATTGACGTTGATGAACGGTAGCGTGTGGAATTTATTAATTTTGGGGATTATCATACTGGTATTTGTGAAAAATTAATGATCGTTCAAAAACTTTGAGTAGTTATTACGTTGGAACCGCTTGACTGTCATATGTTTATTAAGAAAAGATTTCACTTATGCGTTAGTTTCTTTCGCCTCCTTATATCCCTACATCAATGTGATCTTTCGTATCTTTTACTCTTTCTTAGTTTGATTTCTTAACCTATTTTAAAGATGCAAAATTAACCTCTAGCAATTGAATAATGAATGGATCTCATCAGCTGCTGTTCTGTTGGTTATAAGTATTACTGGCTCCCTTTTATCTATTACTTAAGACTGGTATCTCCTCTACACTTTATGTGATTGATTTTTTTTTCTCTCCATTCACTATTTCAGGGAATATTGGAGGAGCCATGAGTGTCAGAATTTTGAACATGGACATATATAGGAACAGATGTGCTACCCTAGAAACACAAAATGGGGCGAAAATTTTTCGGCAGAATATGTTCTGGGGCTTGAGAGATATTCAAATAAAGCAGCAACAAGTGCGTTTCGCAGATTCAACGAGAAAACCATGGAGATTGTCAAGGCGTCTGGCTGTAACATGTGAATCAACTTCTCAAAGTACGTGCCTTTTTTACACACACGACCTCATTTAATATGAATGTAATTACTCATTGTTTCATATTTATAGAAGTAAATTAAATCAATAATTGATGGCGAATCGTTAAGATATTGGTTGATAGCTCTTATGCTTGTAAACATA